GGGTGTATATTTTTGAGAGGGCGCAGCTACTAGCCTCACTTGAAACCTTTCATCTGTTTCGGGCATACTATCGGCTAAACGAGGTTAAATGGAGTGCATTGGTGAAGGGAATCGAACCTGGAGCACGGCTCCTGCCATTAATTAGATCTTCATCTTTCAAATTTACAGAGTATTAAGCGCAACTGACTGATACACCTATACACAATGCTAATGACAAATTTTTACATTGTATTTTTGTTGTCGTGACCAAAGGATAAAGGTGTTCATATTAGCTCGAAGTGTAAATCTTTCATTTTATATATGTATATAATTACAGTGTTTTGAAGTAGCGAAGGAGATTTCTAGCTCAAGTGAATGCTTTTGTTGTTGGATTTCGTATATTTTTTGATTAAGATTTTGGAGAAAAATGCCTAAAAAGAAAATACCAGAGGATCCCTCAACACCTTCTAACACTGACATCAATTTCGAAATCCATATTCATCATTTTCATTTGAAAAATTCGTTTGCCGAGCCGAGTTATATCACATAGCGCGTGACGTTCAAGATGCTTCGATGAACATGGAGCATCATAGTCAACATCTCTAGGAGAATTTGCATTTTGACATTGGTTACTAGTTGTATAGAAATTGTCGTCTACAACCAGTCCTGCTTATCGGGATTCGCCAGCAAGGCGTATCTGCAACAACCTTGAAGGAACTCATGTCCCTCATCTGAGATTCGGATTCGAGTTACCCAGTGCTGCAATCAGAGACGTTACCACTGACCTATCCTGACTAGACACACATGACACTTGTTGTTAATGTCCAATCAAAAGTTTATGAGCTATCGTGAAACCAGAAAAAAGGGGCTGCAGAGGACAGAGTGAAATCGCTACGTGCTACTGAAGCCCTATGTTCCACCATTTGGAACCCAATGGAATAATCATAAAAGCTTCATTTGGACAAAGAAAGGAGAAAATAATGAGGTATCTGGAAAACGGTTCAACTAATGCAGTCTAGTTATCTTCGAAATGTTAACAGAAAAAGTGACCAAAACTTGCATTTCAGTCATTGTTAATGGCGGCCCGCTTAAAACTTGGGCTATCGGAAACCTTCATCAGTATCTATTGCATTTAATTTCCTTTTCATTACGTTTGTTTAAATCTAGTAAAATATGACCTCCAATAGTATTGTTTACTCTGGCGGGTATTCAAAACATTTACAACCTGCTGTGATTTGCAAGTTTCTACTAAACATGTTAAAATGCATTCTCCTAAATGGCAGCTTATCCCCTAACACATGAGATGCTCGTTCCTGACAAGGGTGTCGTCGGTTTA